CCAAAGAGAGAGAGAGAGAGAGGAAATGTTAGTTTTAAATATGAAAAGAGGGATAAAAAAAGATCATTTCAAAAAAATTTGCATGTTTATCTAGTATTATTTTCCAATGACAGATCATTTTTCAAGAAATTAGAATGCATATCTAATAAAAAGAAAAAGCTAATAGAAAAATAAAATTGATATGCGAATTCACTCTATTAGATATCTAGTTATATATATATATCACTCTCTTTATTTCGTACATTTAATAAGATTATGATTGTGGAGAGAGAGCAAATTGAAAGAGAAAGCAAAGTTGAAAGGCAAGGGAGAGAAACCACATTGAGAGAGAGAGAGAGGGGTTTGTGATTGGATTTTTTTAAAAAAAATGGAAACTTCACTCCTTCTCTGTCACGTAACTTATTTGAAACACGTGCTACCATGTGGACAGGCGACGTGGTACTTAAATGCCGGCCCACTTCGGCACATGTCGCCACACTTTTTCTCCCAACAACCACACGCCTCCACCTCCACCTCCACCTCATCCTTGCCTTCATTCGACGGCTGCCCTCGCACCCATTCCCAATTTCACAGGCAGATCACCCCTCTCCCAAGTGACCAACCTGTACCAAATCTCATGCTAAACGAGTCTCTCCTAAAATCAAGTAATTTCAAATCCCAGCAGTTCATTTTCAACAAGAACCCCCCACTTATAGACACCACTTTGCATTGCCATTAGAGAAAGCTTAGCATTGCCATTAATGAGTGAGTGCAAGCTTTTAGTGAAAGAAACCATTGACTGTTGTAGAGGCCTACACCACACCCACCAAGCTCTAGGAGAAAATCCAAACTAAGACTGGGTTGAGATGGGTTTTAGGGTTTATGCTCCTATATCATGTTTTTTCTTCTTCTTTTTAGTTTTGGCCTCCCTTCCCACCAGAGCACTAAGGGAGGAGACACAAAGGTTCGAACGCGAGACCGATCGGTGTTATGGCAAAAGCAAGGCAATGCGCCTCAAACTGATTGTCATTGCATCCATCTTGGTCAACAGTATGACCGGTGTATGTTTGCCTCTGTTCAGTCGAGCAGTACCCGCTCTGAATCCTGATAAGAATGCATTTATGTGGTTAGAGCCTTCGCGGCCGGTGTCATACTAGCTACTGGTTACATGCACGTGTTGCCTGACTCGTTCAACGACCTCAATTCTGTGTGTTTGCCAGAGACTTTCTAACGGGGGTAAAATAGGAACAGAAAAAACTAGAAAAAATAGGACTTCACAGTAATATACCTCAAAATATGAATAAATAATGTCGCATCTTTCCCAGTCCCAACATAAATTTTCCAAAATACTATCATGTATATTTAATTAGTCCAACCAAACAAAACCAACAACTCGCCAAGCCAAATTCATTTAAATGTTAGTTTTGACATGTTGTCAACCAAATGCAATTTCTACTATTGACCAATCTAGCTGATCCATGTTAGATTAATCAAACAGATGCGGACCCATGTTAGATTAATCTATTGTTGAGGCTAATCTACTAAAAGAAAGCCGCAGGAAACCGAGAGCAATCTAAGAAACCCCAGGAGATCTATGGCTGAAGGCTCAAGACCACTGCATTCCTGCAAACATTGAGGTTAGGCTCTTAAAATTCCAGAAATCCTCTTGTCAAATGTCTCATTTGCAAAAGTATGTTTTAAGTACATATGTGTATCATAAGCTGAGTTATTTCATTCAAAGTCGTATATATGGAATCATTGAGCTTGAAAATTGGAATCATATATACTTGGGACCCTAAGGAAATCTCAATACGGTTACGCTGCCAGTTACAATTCAGATAACATATAACCTTTTCTTAAACTAGCACAAAAAAGATAAACATAACAAAAGGAACACCATGATACATAATCTGGACATCAAGAGAGGCAGTTTTATCACTGATGACATGATAACTTAGAATAGAGCCTGAAACAAGCAAACATTCATCTATAAAATCTTGGGAGTGTAATATCTGAAAGTCAAGCATTCTGTTAATCTGTTACAGTCTCTTTTATGTTTACCACATACTTGATTAAGATAGCACTAGTGCAGTGGCAGCTGTACATAAAAGAATAGTAAAACATGAGGGTAATTTAAATGCCTTGTCTAGAATCAAGTACTTGAAACCAGTGTTTAAAAACCTGGATCAGCCGAGTAAATCGGTTGTCCAAGGAAGCGGTCCAAATTGGCAGATCGACGATCCAAATCGGTGGATAGGCCTGTTTGGGACGATCTGGCCTTCAAAAAATTTCTAAAAATTTGTTATAAATATTTTTGGGGTTTCCAAAAGAATGGGGGTAATGCATAATGAATATTCATTATTTTATAGAAATACGTGGACCATTACATTCATTTTACAGTAAAAATACTACACACAATTATCATCAATATGAATACATCGTCCAAAATGGAACATAATATCAAAACAAAAGACAACATTGCTCTTCCTCATTATCGCACTGATTCCACTAGTTAAATTGTTGAGACAAATCATTGAGCCGGTTGATATACGAGTATGGGGCTTAAGACATGTTAGTATCCAGCTGGTAATGCCCACTCCAGCAATTGAGAAACGTATCAACCGCTCTCCTTGCCTGAAATCCCAAGACTATTTGATCATTCTATCTTAATAGATATAATAAATATCGTAATACATTATTCATTTATAAAAGGGATTGTCTACAAAGAGACCACCACTTATCTTTTATACATGGAGGTCACAATCATTCTTGTTCTTTAAATTTCAAAATGGGTGGTTGTAAGAATGTCATTGAATAAACACAAAGTTCCAAAAAAAAATTCTCGGACTTCGTGACTCACGCCAGGCGATCCAATTTGACATCTAATGAGTGGGAATGATTGTGACCTCCATATACAAAAGATAAATGGTCTCTTTTTAGACGATCCCCTTAATAAATACAATAAATATTTTAATACACTATATACATTATATTTTAGTAAATATAATAAATATAGTGATTATACATTTTATGTTAAATAATATATGGACATAACAATTACAAAAATAAATATTTGTATTTAAAGTTTTATACATTCTAATTTAATAAATATTATACATTCTATTGAATAACATAACAATAACAAGATAATTACTTATTTAAAAAAATTTACACATTTATTAATGATTCTTAATCTGGACTGGTAGGGGTTCAATACTGCTTGAAACGATTGACAATGACCATTTCTACTAATCCTATTAATAAGTTTCTCTTAAAAGTCAATTGATTGCTCAGGAAATATCGGTTCAGCCCAGAGAGAAAGCTTGTATAATCAGTAACACAATATGCCAGCAGAAATAAATGCATACCAGCAGAAAGCAGGAAACTCAATCTTGCTTCAAGATCCTATGATGTTGAAAACTACCCCACTGCGTACGTAAGCATCCAAATAATTGATGTACCTGATTAAGAAACAATTAATGTTAACACACAAAAATTGACTCATTTAGCGAAACAGTCCAAGCACGTGTCAATGAAACAATTTGCATAAAAATAAAACGAAGCGAACAAACAATTCTCGAGTGGCATTGCGGAATCAATTCATAGCATGCAAGTTTGACAGCTCCATCTGAACTAACATAGTGTCAAGGGTTATGTAGTTATGGTGCACCACTTGTTAAATTGTGTATTGTATTTATCCTCGAAACAAAGGAAAGGGTTGTAGCTTCCTTTTATCCCTTCCACTCTACCTCCCTATCTGGAGGGCAGCTGCAACAATAGCCTAAACAACTGTGATTTCAGCCGTTCGAAAAGGTCTCACAAATATCTGGTGTATCCATCAAAGCATGTTCAACTACTAGGCTACCTGGGCATCAAATTCTAGCACAATTGGGCCCTCAAACTAGAGAAAAATACAAAAATACAAGTTCTAATTTTCATGTAATAGCACATCCACTTCCACCTCAGTCGGTTCCATGCGGAAAATCTCCAAATCAATCAAGTCTGAAAGGAATCTAATCAAATCGCATTCTGATTGGAATCCAAGATTATTTTTTGAACTGGAATCTTATAAGGGATGCAAATATATAGTGTGATCAACAATAAATATTTAAATCTAGAAAGGGAAGAATGATACCAGCAAAAAAGCTAACAGTGGTCAAATTAGTGATAGCCATTGTATGGTATATAAAGTATTCACTCAGGAAGTGACCCAGCGCATAGACGAATGAAAGAAAAGTGGCAGTGTAAAGGGACCCATTGTCAAGGTTGAATGCACAGAGAAAGCAGAGAGTGCACATCAAAAGCGTCCACACTCCAAATGTCCTTCCATGAACTTCAGTCACTGTATTGAAAAAAAAGGTAATCAGAAAATGCCATATTAACTAACATTGTTACTACAATAAAAGAGCAAGCAACCCTAATTGGTGACCTTAATTTGCAATAAGAAGATCCATTTGTCCTATCCAAAAAAAATATACATTTGAACATCAATATAAACCAGCATCAAACAACAAAAAATGTCTAGGTATCCAGCTAATTATAGAAACTATCAAACAATTCTATACTATATCTCTGCCAAAAACAACATATACATCTTGAAGAAATACCATATGGCTTGTATTTTGAGCAGTCCTTATCAAGCCATTCAGGAAGAATTACCACTTGTTATTGAGAGTAAGAGATTAAGCAAGCTCCTCTCTAGAGCTAAAACCAAATGAAATCATAATTGTCAAGCTGTAAAACTCTATCTAGAATTCAGTTCAATGTATATTGCTTCCTCTGACATCCTTGTAGTAGACAGTTATTTAGGCCACTAATGCAAGCATCTTTACTTCTATTGCACCTTTCCATGTGCATTGCATAACATATACTACGGATGGTTGGACATGCCTATTTATTATGTCGTGTAATTAATGATACCTCATATATCCTTATAAAAAAAGATATTATCTTGTATGTATACGCCTACTCAGATGTCAAACAATTAATTTGTTCAAAGCATCAAGAATTCTAGCAAGTTCACTATTTCCTGAGTCTGAGCTTGCACTATGGGACCTTCTTGTGAAGGACCTAAAAACAAGGCAGTACACAACTAATGGAAGTCAGGAATGCATGTGCTCTCCACAACTACAAGATTTCCACATTCGAAGCACGTATCAAGAACAAGTTATCACCTGATAAGGCAAGTAGCTCCTCTTGGCACCTACAGTTAGGAAATCCAGACATACAGATAAGAAGGCAATAACCATGTTGTATTCTACCATTCTCAGTTCTATTTCAAAAGATAAGCGACTCGAGTCCCCTTATAGAGAGTAGTTGTCTAATGGGAAAAACTATCACATACTTTTTTCCCTAATAAACAACTATGCAGTTCCTCTGGCATATATTTCTCTTGGGCTATGTATAATGAAACAAACCTCTTGGGCTTGGTTTGAAAGCTGAAAGTTGCCTGTTCTAGCAATTAAATTTAAGCAATACTGAGCACATAGCTCCATGTCAGTCAAGTATTCCCCGACTGTTTGGATATTTCGATGTATATGGATGATATTTTACAGTAGATGATGCCTAATGCAGTTCCTACCAATGTTTTAAAACCCAAATTGGGAGGCCAGATCGATTACCCGTTGGACTGATCAAGATCTTACCGATTCTCGGTATGGGAATCAGTCTCAAAATAATTTAAATAGTAAATTTTAAGTTTGGAAATTTTAAAATTTAAAAAATAGTAAATAATTAAGATGGGGGCGAACTGGGCAATTTGGACGAACCGGATTGTCGGGATCCATGAAGGACTTGCCTAGGTCTCTGACAAAATGGTAGGGTCTATCAAAATTAAACCGATTCCTGGTACTGACTAGGAACCGGGTTGGTCCCCACCGATTCCTATTTCAGATCACTAATTCCCTATCCGGATCTGCGGTTTTTAAAACATTGGCTCCTATTGTAAGTTCTTAACATTTACATTTTTTTTTTTGATAAGAAGTTCTTAACTTTACTTTGAAATGAAAGAATTGAAACCCCAGCCCTTTGCTCTTTCCTCAGATTAGAAGTTTCATATACTTTCAATCCTAAACCAATATGCCAGTTAGCATCATATAAGTTCCTCATGTCATAAGGTATAACCTCTTGAAATCCACGAACAATAAGAGCAATCATAGCTTTTTATGCATCTCAAAATCATGCACCCATGTATTGCTTATGTTCTTAAATTTATTTTATTGATGCTTATGCTGTTAATTTGCAATCCATTATGTAATGCCCTAAAAATTACCAAGAAGCTACCAAACACATTTGACAATGTGAGAACAGATTTTTTCACTCATAAAAACAAAGGGGCAGTAATAATCTTTTTGCAGAAAGATGCAATTGAAATGACAATATGGCTACTCTATCAAATTTCATTCATTTTATGGCCTTTTCGTAGAATGATTGGGCAGGAATCTCTGACAATTGACAGTCTAATTCCAGGAATTTGTCTTCTTCTAGGTGGCAAAAGATTCATATAGTAAGAAACACAGAATTGCTTCAAATGTTGGAGAAGATACAAAGAAATTTTCTCTTTAGGGACCTTAATGCTCCCCTTGAGGGGCCTATTCTCTTATACTATGATAATAACACAATGTCAGAACCACATACCTGGCCGCAACCTAGTGTTCTCTAGTGGTGCTAAATATATTAATATTACTTTGATTCATTGATTGGTTAATTTTGCATAATGTAATCTTGTAATGTCAAAGCCTAATTATCAATTGCTAGTTATTTAAGGAAACCAGTGCCCAAAGACTAACTCCAATGGTACAAAGGAAGCTACTTGTTCATATTTCATAAGCACTCCATTTACACCTCTAGATGAAGTATTAAGAGATAGTACATCTCCTATGTTACTACCTTCTTTTATATTCATACTGTCTTCAAAGAACAACTGAACTCTTGCAACTTGAGCAATTATATCAGACATGAACTTTTCATAATTGCACAAATTAATGAAATATGGCTTCATAAAATTTGAGACTTTTTTCTTAACTGATTATGCACATCAATGACTGGGAAACTCCAATTTCTAAATATGCTTCAGGCCCAAAAGCCAAATTATAAATGTAAGAGAGAAATGGAAAAGCATCCCACCTATTATATCTCAATCTGAAACCAATAAATGCTCTCCAAATATACTAAAGAGGCGGTCACTTTCAAGCATAGGAGCACAGAAACCGAGGTGCCATATCCATCGTGCACATAATCCACACTAAGAGGATCTCTGTCATTATAGTTACCGGGGAACACCCCAAAAACTCAAAAAATTAGTAGTTTCCATCACAACTAATCCATTGGGAGAAACCTTGGAATTACCAATCGGATCCAACCACTATCCACGCAATAAAATGCAATAAAAAAGAAAACCGAGTATGACCAACCCCTTAGATGTACTCATATCCACATTCAAGAATATGGGCAAAACATGTTATTTTGTCTCCAAGGCTACTTTTTTCTTTTTCTTTCTTTCTTTCTTTGTTCTTTTTTTTTTTTGGTATCATCAAGCCTATTCTTATTTAGTCAACTTGCAAGCAGTTTTCAGCCAAGCTTCAAAATGGGAGGGGAGCAAACATGTTGCCAATGAGTTCCCACACCAGCATCTTTGAAAATGGAAGAACTCCCATTTAGTGGTCCATCCAAACATGTCCAAAAAGGATGGCTATAGCTGGAGCCCAAATGCTTAGAACGCCAATCCTAGCCCATCAAACAAGACTCTACCAAGTCTTTTTTTTGAAAGAATACTCTCCCAAATCTTACGCCCCACTATCTATTTCAAAGAGTTGGTTACTCCGTATACAATCCTCAACAATAATATCAATAACAATCATTTAGTAGAATCATGTATCTCCACACCCCATCATGTCCAAACACCCATCAAACTTTGGAATCAAACCTGAGCCTTCCCAGAGAAATAAATGGTCTTACATTCAATCATCTACCTAGGAACCTTTAACAGAACCAAAGCCCATTAAACAACAATTTGATTGCACACTCCATAGGAACCTTTAACTATATCAGTCACAATACTTTAAACTCACATATTTTCCTCCAGCCAAGCACCCAAGATACTTTATAATAAAACCTAAACCCGCCAAAGAAAACAAATCAGAGCAACACTCCCTAAGAGCCTTCAACAATATTATTACCAAAACAACATCATTTCGATTGACAAAGTCAACTCACATAAACACCCACCATGCGTAGGAATCAAACGTAAACCCATCAAGCAAAACCAATTGACCCAGAAACCAATTAGCCCCACACGCCATAAAAGCCATTAACCAGTGCTAGAAATGATATATTAAAGTTACATTTTCCATCAAGCATAAACACCCAACATGCCTAGCAATCAATCTGAACCCACCTAACAAAAACCATATGGCCCAAAAACCAATTAGACCCACATTCTATAGAGGCCATTAAACATTTCCAGCAATGAATAATGAAGTCACATATTTTACCAAAAAAAAATAAAAATAGTACAGTCAAATATTTCGATCTAATCCAAACTTCCATCATACAAAGTAAGCAAAAGTAAGCCCCCACCCAACAAAAAATATCTCACTCGTTCCATTATAACCTTCAAGGACATCACTACCAAGCCCCAACCTACCAAATCACATATTGGCTTCAAGCCCAGAGAAACCATCATCAAGGAAGAAAAACTAAACCCAGCTTAAAAAATGGATGACCGCCAAATTCATAGAAATCTTTATTGCAGTCTATCTCATGAAGTCAGAAGTAACATTGTTATTCGAAAAACAAATGAGAAATGAATCCAAGGTAATATTAAAAGCCTAGATGTCGCAGATGTAGTCATAAAATTCCATCATTGATTCTAGAAAGAACAAAAAACCAACAAACCCATGTCAAAAAAAGCAACCTCTCTCAATCTAATCACGAAGATTTGACTATGCATCATCATCAATAAGCAACGCTTCAATCCAAAAGGCAAGCAGAATAATCCCAAATGCATGAAGAGAAAAAGAAAAAAAAGCTACATAATAAGTAACGCATTGATGTAAAGGCCAAAGAAAAAAGAACGTCAATAACAAAGCAATTGATAATCAAAAATAAAAATAAAATCAATGAAACACTGATTAGACAAACAAAATCAACATTTACAGAAACATGACTCAAAAACAGAGAGTGGTGTGGAAATGGGCAGCACCTAATGGATATATTTTTGAGAAACGTAATGAAAATAACAATGTGGGAGAACAATAAAAAAAAAAAGGAGTAAAAAGAAAGATACTTGAGGAGAGAGAGTAGACACCGCGCGTGAGAGCCCATAAGTTAAAGAAGCCGAACCAAACAGAGGCTAAGCGAAGAGCGCCAACAAGCATCAGCCACCACCCCAATGCCTCCATTTTATTGTTATCTTCTTTTAAACTTGAAGGGGGAATTTGATCCGAGATAAAAAAGGCTTCTCAAAACTGCCAAGTTCTGTTACAAGTGCTTGTTACATGAAAAGGGGCAGGCATTAAGGACTGTCTTAAACAATCAAAATGAGGCGCATCTCAGGATTTCAATATTCAGATATTTGAAATTTTGAACAAATGCATTGCTGGTCTTTGGATTATATAGTATCTTGACATATATTTTTTCGTACTTGTTTGACTATCTCTTTATATCATTTGTTCGAGCACATTGTGAGCAGAAAACAGACTAGTGCTCAAACAAATCCAAACTTTTTGAATGAATATATCCAAGCTCAACCCTGTTTTCAGAGCTGCCCAAAACACAAAACTGTCGGAATAGAGTATCTAACTAAAAGTTATGATAAAAAATGCAAGAAATAAAAAACACATAAGAAAATAGAATGGGAGTGGAACGACAACGGAGAAAAATAAAGCATTCACACATTAAGACTTCAATGTCATTCCTTTATTTTACTGAAGAGGAAAAACCCAAAAACCCAGTGTTTTTTCTTTTAGCCCATTAACCATTACAACATCTCTCTCCGTTCCCGCTAAGCTCTCTCTAAACCCAATCAACCCCGACAAGATTCATACCTCAGAAACATTGGGAACAGAGAAGATTTCAGAGAAAGCGAATAGCCATGGATGAGAAGACATTAACCAGAGATCCCCTTTGAGACTCTGCCTTGCTTCACAAAATACTCCATGAACTGCGCATGTTTTTGCCCGATATTAATCGATTCTAAATGCTTGAAAGAGGCTCAAAGCCCGTACAGGCTCGAAGGCATTAACGAGTCAGATGGAAGAGAGAGGAGCGAGAAAAACCTGTGAATGTAGGGCTTTTGAAGAGAGAGAGAGTGTCATTCACTAGGTCAAAACTTTTTAAAAAAAAAAAATCTTGAATTTTTTAAAACAATTCAAGCTGTCGAATTCGAAATCACATGGCTGTAAGCATCCGTGACCCCCAGTAACAAAGATAAATACTTTCGTATTATAAATTCGATTACACCCACAACCACCGGATTTTCAATCCGATGGACAAGTGACCTCTATATACCAAAAATAAATAGTCATTTTGTATAATATACCAAAAATAAATAGTCATTTTGTATAATATTTTTTCTTTTCTTTGACAAACTATGAGAGTTAATAATGTATTTTGACAAACTCTGAGAGTTAATATTGTATTTTACAAAATTCAAGTAGTACTTGAATTTTGCTTTAATTTTGTGAAATATAGATTGGGAAATTGTTAAATGCGGGCTAGACCGAATTTCTACAATCCAGAAAGTATATAGCATCTATCTTAAAAGATGGATACAAGTAGGTGTTTCATCTAGAAACAATGGAACTAATCGTCTAAATATTTTCTTACCAAAATTATTTTTTTTTAGTTTTAAAATTTTATTTTTATTTTTTCATATTCATGATCTCCATGTTAGAGATTACGTATCCTTAAAACTTAAATTTTAAAATCCATCATAAAAATAGATTTATTAAGAAACGTATATTTTTACATATATGGGCTTGGCCGCGTAAAAACCGGGTCCATATAGACTTGAGGCCTTTATTTTGAACTTTGATGATAGGATTTTAACCTATCAAATATGTATTTTCTCTTTGGTTATTAAATTATTGATGAATCACTTAAAACTTTAATAATAAAATATTCAAATATTTGAATGCAATCCAATAGCCTAAACCTCACTAGCCTTCAGCAATCAAAAAACCTTTAAACCCAAATCTGTTAGGTGAAGGGTTGGGAAATCAGTTTGCATCAGCAGATCATCGATATGGATTGGCAGTAATCCGGTCGAGTGAATCAACCAATAAGAAATAAATCATAAAGTACACAAAAAGAAAAAATTTGAAAAATTTTAAAAAGGAAAAAGTTTACATAAGGTTGCAATAGAACTACATATGTACCTCAAAAATCTATCGAAAAATATAATTTTAATATTAAAAAACCCTCTAATTATTCATCTTGATAATGAGATGTATGAATATGGAAAAAAAAAAGATTTTGAGTCCCATAAACAGTGCCTCTTGGAACACATTATCTAGACCGTCTATTTTCAAAATTTTCATATGTCTATAGATCTACGTGATTTTAACCATTTTTTGAGTTTAAATTTTTATAATTAGATATGAAAATAGATTTTTTAGGTAATCCAAATAATTATTTATACTAAAATTACATGTTATGATAAAAAATTTAGGTGTACCTTAATTGGATTGTTTAAGGTTGCAACCTTATAGAAACCACACCCATTAAAAAATGTGAGAACATGTCAATTCCCAGTTCCAACCGTGAACTAGATTCTTCCAACCAATACCTGACCCGGATCGGCCAATTTCAATGTAGATCGACATTTTTCCAAATATTGCTTAAAGATGTGGCTTGTGTTGAAAATTTTATGATTGCCTTAAATTTATTTTTATGTGAGGTTTGTATAAGGTGCACACCTTGAACAATCAAAGTAAGGTACTCCTTCGAACCATATTGGAAAGGGTATGGTTTGTATAAAGCTAAGGCTCTAAACAATCAAAGTAAATCGCACTTTCAAATAATGTCGAGAAATATGGTTTAAATACTGGAAATCTTTGTGATAGCTTTAAAATATATTTTCATCCCTAATTATAAATTTTAAAGCTTAAAAAATAGTGTAGATCGAGCAGATCTATGAAAAGTTGAAAATTGATGCGCCAAAAATGCATTACAAGATGCACTATTTCCAAAACTTAAAATCCATTTGTTTCCCTTGTCCATGTATCTTGAGGTCAAGATGATCAATTTGATGATATTTGGGCATCAAACCAACCTCTTTTAATGAAATTTTTAAGGTGCGCCCTAATTTGATTGTTTAGAGCCTCACACTTATATAAACTTTTTCCTATTGGAAAATATAATTTTTGCATTGATTTTTATGTTGATCTAAAAATTCATTTCCACCCATAATTATGAAATTTAAAGATCCAAAATTGGTGCAGATTTATAAAACACTTAAAAATAAATCTTAAAAATGAGTGGTCCATATAATGCGTTACAAGATACACTATTTTCAATACTTGAAATCTTTCTTCTTCTTTTTTCTTATATCCAACGTCTTGAAGACGAGATGGTCAATCGGTGAGTCCTCAACATAAAAAACAACTGTTTACTTTTCCCTTGCTTTTATCCCTAAATATGAAATTTAAAGTTTAAAAATGGTGCAAATTGATTGTATCTTTTAAGACTCTGGAAATTTTAGATATACATCTAAAATTGATTGTATCTTTCATATCCATACATCTATCTCAAGATCGAGATGATCAATTTCAGGGTAAGTAGTAAACTGAATTGACCACCAAAACAAGCTTTAGAGGTGATTGTTTTTTTTTTAGTGATAATTTATCCTAAAGGCATGTTTGGACATACTAATCAAATAGTCACATCAAAGGTGTTGCCGTTTTCTCAAGGGAATCTTAGAAGTAGGGGTGGCAAATGGGTTGGGTCTCGATAGACTTGGACCCGGAATCAAATAGTATTCGGGTCCAGGTTTTGGGCTCGGACCTGACCTTTTAGGTCCAAAATTTGGACCCATACTCGGACTTGAGGTGGGGTCTACCCGTTGGATCCATTGCCACCCTAATGTTTATGCGAGACACGTGGGCTTTGACTATGGTTTCTTCTTTATTTTTGCCTTTTTTTTACCATCATATACTTATATTATTGACAACATTTATAGTATTGCACAACATTTATGAATGATCATATATACCTTACTATTTTACGTAATAACTAGAAAACACTAAAAAATAAACATATTGGCAACATTTATGAATACCCCTTTACACTCATAATATTCGCGTCAGGTCCGGTTGGACCTAGATCCAGACCCATACCTAAATAGTATTCGAGTCCAAGTTTTGGACTCGAACCCAACTTTTTGGACCCAAATTTTGGACCTATACCTGGACCCGAGGTCGGGTCGGGTCCATTGCTACCCCTACTTAGAAGGAACAAGGAATAGCCTTTTGTAAGTGGGGACGTGTCATTGGACTATGTCCTTGGACGCATCCACCGTCTATCTAAAATGGACTGTGGAGATCTCGCTCATATATTGCATCATCTAATGCGTAAAACCAAATCTATCTTGAAATATTGTATTTATTTTCAAGAAAATAAAAGATAATTTTTGTAAAAAAAGAGGAATTATTACATGCTTTTGGGAGGCATTTGGCAAGTGGAGCCTGCAATTAGAATCGGAGATTTCTAATTATGAAATCTCGAAGGCATAAATTGAGTACATGGTAATAGAAAATACTGTTTTTGGTTAACTAGTCCAGAATTATGGGGATTTTAGAAAACTATATTTGGTTTAAACAGAAATTTCATAAATTAGGAGATCTGAAGATCAGCTGATGTCTACCATTTATTAATGTTTTCGTTAATGATATGGTAATTTTTGTTAAATGAATGAGATTTCGAAATCATTGCTCATCCATGGCTGGTCAAACGAATTTGACACTTCATATCACATAAAAAGAAAAAACATTTGGATAAAGTGAGAGCAAGTCTAACTATTTTAATTTTATTTTACTTTTTATATATCAAATCGGGGTAATATCTTCCGCTTTTATACTTTTCACATGCATCAATATATTTGGTTTTTATATACTGTTCACCTCAAGCACCTATAAAAAATATAAAAAACAAATTTAGAAAATATAATGCTTGAAATATCCTCACAAATAGTTCAGAATATATATGAGCATTTTAATCGTATTTTTCGGATTGGGCTAAAACATAATGACAGAAACACCCCTAAAACCCCAAATTATAGATCATCTAAAATATCCTTACTCGCAACCATAGTTACCCATCGGGAATGGGTCCAATTCCGGGAGTGGGAGCGTCGGATCAACATCGGCCCAAAGCTCTAGAGCTCGGGGGAGTGGGCTCCAGTGAGAGTAGAAGTTATCGATCGAGATCCTGTTTGAATAGGAAGCGAGTTCCCGATACATTACGATCGAGATCTTTATTTAACAGGAATACGTTCCATGTAAAATAGGAACGTATTCCCATGTTCATTAGGTTCGCGCTCCCATCGACAATAGGAACGAGATCCTATTTAAGGTTAAGTTGCACCCCCATCTAAAAAAGACCGTGTTTCTATTTAGAAAGGATCGAGCTCTATTCACAGTATTTTCTCAAAAAGGTTCGAATCTCACTTTTTTTACTCTCCCCAAAAAACGATTTTTTTTTTTTAAAATGATAACATTAAATGCCTAGATATGCATTACAAACCTTGAGTGAAATAGAAATGAAATTCATGGGCGGCATAAAGGATATCATTACAAATACTTTAAGTATTCATGTCCCTAGTGAACCTACAAGACCATATTATGTAAATGTTAAATAAACGAACAATAAATTAGCTTTTATATTTCATTATAAAAACGTAATTTAGGTTTGTCTTTATGTGACTAAACAACAATTTACTCCATCAGTAGAACAAACTTTTTGCATTGCGTTAACGAGTATTCTAAAACATATGAGGGCATCTGATATTTTAATAATTAAAATTTTGATCATTTCATATGCATTTAATGTACATTTTAAAAATAAAAAATAAAAGAGATAATATTTTAATAATAAAAAATTATCATTGTATTAAATGCAAAATTGATCTGGACATATATTTCTAATAGATCTATTGATTTTTTAAAAATATATATTTCTGTGGACCCTCACAACCATATTATATAAAATCTAAATAAACAAAATGTTTCAATAATTTTATTCTTTTCGTTTTAATCTCTAATGAACAATAAATCAATTTTTATATTTCATTATAGAAGAG